AAATACCCCGGGGATAACCAAGAATAACGTGGGGGGGGGGGCAATGTCTCGAAGTACCATGCTCCAGAGAAGGGTTATTTTCTATCGAAACTCAAGCGCTGCATCCACAGAGTCGGGAACCGGTGATGCACTGTTTGACGCTTCTTCCGCTGCAACCCTAAAGGATGAATGAAGAAAGTTGAGAGTTGACTAATAATCGAAGAGTTGACTGACAGAGGTATGAGGATAGGTCTGCTAGTTGAGGCGGCTCGCACCGTTTTTCATAGGAGATAGTGGGCTCCGGAATGGACAGCAAGAAAACGAACGAATAGAATGATCCGCCCTCCAATGCGACATAAACCTAAAATTTGAATCGTGTAACCGCTTGTTGCATTGGCAACTATTTCGCGGCTTATACGGGAGACCCGCCCACTCTTACGGTTTTGCATGCAGTCGGTCGAACTGCGTTTGCGTATGAACTCAGTTTTCAGGAACTTGTGTATTCAGAACATGTTAGAGAAGCACGAAATACAAATCGATAACTGTTTAACTTTGTAAAGATCTTTCAAATATTGGATATTTTTTTATCCTCTTTCCACCAACCCATTTTTGAACACTGTGATCAGAAACAAGAAACAAGTTCAGTGCCAGAACTCCCTTGTCAAAATCGCCGATTTGGCTAAGGGTTGTTCCATTAGGGCTTGCATACGTCAACTGCCGCTTCTCAGTATTTTCAAATATGGTATTTATGAAATGGAGGCGCCTACTTTCAGCTAAGGCTGTTAATCGAGAGCCGCTTTCGTTTCGCTCTTCAGTTGTAAACCAAACGTTGAAACTCTCTGTTTAAGTTGTTTCTTTTTCTGCTATGGTATTCAAATCTCCTTGGACGATTACGTCTGTGGAAGTCGTTTGATTGGTGCTTTCCAGTTCCTCGTATAACTGCTCTATTTTTCCATCGTCTGCTTGCTGTACTGAGTCGCAATTTTCGATTATGTCTAGTAGTTTTCTCTTACCTACCCACAGAATTAGCAGGGCGACACAAGGTGACATGAGGTAGCACCTGACTATGAGACGAGCGGTACAGCTCTCCTCTGTACGATGAATCCCACTCCATTTGCCCAAGTCCGGTTTTTGTACGCTTTCTCGAGAAATATTTGATTACCGCTGTTTCACTGTG